AACCTTGAACTTCCGATCATCCTGCTAAGATTTTAGATATGCACTAGAATACACTGTTTATGCATCACAGGAAATCAAACCCACGATTTCATGCACACAGACAAGCACAAATTTAGCTATATCCCAATCATTAGCACTCTTCTTAAATCACTGTTTTTTCAATTTGAGATATACCTGAGACAAGAAATCTGAAATCCTCTGCAGCAGAGGCCTTTACCTACCCTAAAATCAGGTATATATGATGTATGTACCTGTGGTATCAAGGAATACACTTCTCTCATGCTAGGCAGCTATTCTACCACTGAGTCTTACAACATTATCCTATTACCTGATTTCTAAACTAGTGGGTAAATCAGTATTGATAATCCTACCTATATACAAAGGCCCACATCCTCTCACTCACATCACCATCATTCATATCAAGGCCAGACTATATACCTACTAATACTTGCCGCATATCTTGGAACCCAAGCTAGCCTCAAACTCACTATGTAGCTAAGTCTTTACTGATTATCCTGCCTCCCAACTGCTACCCATTCCTGACCTTTCTTGGCTGAAACAAAGAGTCTGAAGCCCAGGCTAACATCCAACTCATCATCTTTCTGCTTCTGTCCACTTAGGAGTATTAGAACTGCTGGGATTACAGACATGTACCACTGTACCTGGGTTTATTTTTATGACACCATACTGCCCACCCTGGACTTGATGGCCTAGGCTCCAGTAGTCCTCCAGACTTTTTTTTTTAATTTTTTTTAATATTTATTTATTATTTATTATGTATACAATAGTCTATCTGTGTGTATGCCGAAGGCCAGAAGAGGGCACCAGACCTTATTACAGATGGTTGTGAGCCACCATGTGGTTGCTGGGAATTGAACTCAGGACCTTTGGAAGAGCAGGCAATGTTCTTAACCACTGAGCCATCTCTCCAGCCCCCTCCAGACTTTTTTTTAACCTCCTGAGTAGCGAGGACTACAAGCTGCTGGTTATCATTCAATCCTTGATTTGCCTGTCTACTCATGAATGGAATACAACACTTGAAAAACTTCATCTTCAAGATAAATTGGAACTCCATCTCTGTAAATAAATTGGCTTTGGTAAGTGAAGCCCTAATATGTAAAGGACTAGTTTCTTTCTTAAAATTAAAAAGATCTTGAAGATTATGCCTGCTAACTTTAAGTATGCTACTTATGGAGAAATGGCTTAGCACTTGTTGCTTTTTGAATAAGACCCAGGTTCAGTTTCCAGTACCACACAACGGCTCACAACCATCTTTCACTCTAGTTCCAGAGGCCTCTTCTGACCTCCATGGGCACTAGGCACACACAGTGACATGCAGACACACAATAAAAAATAAGTTGGTTAGAAATAGTGAAACACACAACTTTAATCTCAGCACACAGGAGGCAGAAGGAAAGTGGGTCTCTATTGAGTTCCAGGCCAGTAAAGGGTATACAGTGAGACCCTGCCTCAAAAATAAATTTTAAAAATAAGCTATTTTCTCCAAAAGAATAAAATAATTATAACACATACATAGCATGAACCTCCCATAATTAAGCTTTGCTCAAGAATGAAATCCAGTGAATCAAAAGCCCTGGGAATTTTTGCTCTGTGACACCAACCAAGGAGCATCTTATTTGTCCAATCCAAACCATTCAAAGCAATCCATCTCAATCCCACCTCCTCTCGTTCTCCTCTCCCTCCCTCCTTCCAGAGTCTGGCTATGGAACTCACTAGATAGGTCAAGTGGCACAGCAGTGCTCCCCACATCTACCTCTTGGGAACTGGAATTACAGGCATGCACCACACCCAGCCTTCCTATTTCTCTACCTTCAAACACTGAGACCATTGCTAAGGATCCATTCCCATTTTAACTGTTGTTATTCACATTCTTCTTTAAACTTAGTTATTAAATCATGAAAAGTCAAACAGAAGACATCCTTTAAAATCTTACTTCTCCCTTCACAAATTTCCAATTAGAGTTAAGAAGATAGTTCATCACTGTACCGAATCTGCATTTACTCTAACAGTTTGACACAGATGTATTTCTTCTATAGGCTAAGGACTACAGAAATTAGGCTAAACTCTTCAGTTAAATAAAAAAAAAATATTTCAACAGGATGGAGCGCTAGATTCTACCTCGATAAAAGTAATTTTATTATGCACATGTTTCATAATTACAATGACTTCAAAATAGTACTGAAAATTACAAGGAAAAATTTTGAAAATGAAAAACTGAGTCTTCATTAAACTTAACATTACCCCAGTAAATCACTGTTAAATTTACAAATAAATTTATTGGAGAGGAGTCCTGGTAGAGCCAAAAACAGCTGCACATGCTAGTCAAGTGTACCACTGAGGCCATTAAGCTACAGCCCTTGCTCCAGCTACGCAGTTAAAAGAAAGCACCTTGCCCTAAGCACTAAAAGATGAACAGCAACTTGAATTTTAACTACATACATCAATTCCTGCCTTGGTCATTTGAAAGTTGTATTAACTAGTTTACTACAGCATCAAGTAAGGAAAGTACATACAGTTCAAGTTTCACATCTTACAGACTAAGAAAACTAAAAAGTAGACTTTCTCAAGGTCACAAAAATTGTAAGACTAAACTCCTGATCTACCGCAAGCCCTTGCCCAATGCCATTTGCACTCTTTTGACTTATGTTGATTACATATTTCTCCCTAGCATTCAAAAATAGCCTATTTTAAAACAAAAATTTTATCGCTGTGTGTGTGGGTGTGTGTGCACTAAGGCATACATAAGGCAGAGGACAACATCCACCATGTGGGCTCTAGCAACTGAACTCTGGTTTTCAGGCATTTGCAAGTACTCTTGCCCACTGAGCCACCCATCTTTCCTGCCAAGTGTTTTAAGTATCTTTCCAAAACATTTAAAAGTACTTCACAAACAACTAGGTCTTTTGGCAAAAGAACCACAACACCACTTATTATAACCCTATTTTCACCTCTTCCAACAGTTGCCTGTGATCTTAAGAGTCTCTAAGAAGACCATAATCTCCTTTATTCACACCCAAGTCACATCTGGAGTATCTCAAAAAACTTGACAGAAAAGTCACCAAATAACAAATGCATGGAAGCTATGCCTGATCTTGGCCAAAAGGCCTTCGAGAATTAGTTGTGAGCAGTTACAGCAAGAAAAAACAATTCCTTAAAAAACAAAGGTCAAATTTACCCATCACACATTGTCGTATTTAAAAACACTCTTATCAGAATTTTCACATAAAAATTCAAGCTGGGTCAGTGAGCTGGCTCAGGTGGTGAAGGTGATGCCAGTGACCGAAATTCAATCCCCAGGTCTCACATGAAGCTGTCCCCTGACCTCCACACACGCACGCTTCAATGCACACACAAAAATGAATTTAATTTAATTTAGTTCAAACAGGCGGAAAGAAGGGCTCATCCGAAAAGCACACAGTCCTCTTGGGGGCAATAGACCACAGTTTGATTCCCAGCACCCAGGTCAGGCGACTCACAACTTAACTACTTTTATCTCTATTTCCAGGCGATCCAACTTATGAGGCTGCCATGGATGGGAGCTTAAGTATCCACACATGTAACTCTTTTTTTAATTTAAGCTAGACAAAATTCAAACTTTTCAAAGACAAATTGCTTTTGATTAAATGGGTTGAAACACCTTTAATGGTGGTAGACTTCTATAACTTCATAAAATGCACAGATTTGCTCTCAAATGTATTAAATGTTTATAGAATATCTTAGTCACCAAGGGAGTTTAAGAGCTCCAACGAGGGACAAAACCGTTGGAACGCTTTGTTTCCTTAAACTCTCCATGGAACTGAAGCTGTGGGTTAAGCTGTCCACATTCCTTCGGTCTCCAGCAAACATCTCTGATAAGGAGGCTTCGAGGAATGTGTATAACACAGTTCTGAATTCATTTCCTTCTTCCGTGGGGACAAACTTGAAGTAGAACTCAAGTCATTCGGAAACATTTGCAAACCCTTTACCTGAAAGCACGGCCACACTCTTGCCCACACATTTTTTTTATTAACATTTTTTATGTGAAAACTGTCTTGAGTCACCGCCCAAAAAGCGGGTAGCCCAGCATGGGCTCCATGCCCGCAAACACTTTTTAAAAGCAAAATAACGCACGCGCGCGCGCGTACACGCACACACACAACCCAAGACAAAACAAACTAGCAAGGAGCTAGAGTTTAGGGCACTGGGGGCGTCATTTGTCTTTTGGCCTCGGCTTTTTTGGAGACGAGGCCAGGAGAGCCTTCCTGGGCTGGTGCCCGGAGGGAGGATGCTGCGGCCGGGAGGGCTGCACGCAGCCGGGTCCCAGCACAGCCCAGGCAGAGTTGTTCAACTAACAAAGAGCTGAGCCCGCCGCGGGCGCGCGGCACCGACTCCCGGAGCGGAAGCGCCACCCGCCCCCGCCGCCCGCGCTCCGCGACCCTCCCCAAGTTCAGGGCCCCGGCTGTCGACTCGGCGAGGCCCCGCCACCCGAAGCTCGAGCCGGCGTGGCACCGGCACGATCCGCGAAATCTAAGCAAGCCATAAATACTAAGCCCGAGGGGGTCCCCAGCGACACGCTCGGCATCCACGCTGCAAGAAAGCAGGCCGGCCTCCCGCCCGCCCGGGCCCGGTGACAGGGGACGCGGCCGCGCTTTGTTACCATGGACTGGGGCATGCTCCGAGGGCCGCCGCCGCTGCCGCCTTCGTCGCCGCCGCTGCCTCCTTCATCGCCGTCGTCGCCGTCCCCTTCGTCTCCCCCGTCGCCTTCTTCGCCGTCGTCGCCGCCACCGCCGCCGTCGCCGCTGCCTCCCTCGCCGGCGTCGCCTTCGCCGCCGCCGTCGCTCTCGCTCCCCGCCTGAGGCGTCGTCGCTTCCTGGCGATTGTCGCTCTCCTCCGCCGAGTAGACGATCTCTCCCTCCTCGGTCTTGAGGCGCTTGGCCTGGCTCTCGAACTCGCGGTCCTCCTCGTACGTCTCCTCCTTCGGGGAGGAGGAGGTGGAGGACATGGCGGCGGTCGAGGTGGCGTGGGAGACGCTCGGCCTCAGATGTCGCCGATCGGTCCCCGCCGCGGGCTGCGCCTCCTCAGCGCGGCTCGGAGCGGCCCCGGCGTCCTCCGCGGCGCGCTCCAGGAGCCCGTGGCTGAGGAGGGAGCGCGGGCTGAGGGGACGCTTCCCTTTCTCTCCCAGCCGGCCCCCGGCTTCTCCCTCCGCCAGCTTCGCAGCTCCCAGCCCCCGGGGGGAACGCGAAAGTAAGGATGGGGCCGGGGCCGGGGCCGTGGCTTCCGGTCTTCCCTCCTCCCTAATCCGCTCCCCGCCGCTCAGGCGGAGCCTCCACCCGCCTCGACTGCCGCCGGGCGGGATCGGATCCCTCAGCCAAGAGCTCCCGCCCCCTCGCCGAGATTCCGCTTCCTATTGGCGAGGGAAAAGTCGATCTGCTGTCCCATTGGATGGAGGGGCCGTTCGTCAGAATCCCGCCTGGATTCCTCGCCAGGCTTCGAGTCCGGACGGCGCAACGCCCGCTGCGCGCGACTCTGCAGCGGTTGCGGCCCCGCGGCGGTTGGCGCTGTTAGGCCCTCGCTTCAGGCGACGCGCCCGGTGCCTCTGGGCGAGCGGCAGAGCGTTCGGTAGAGTCGGGGCTGCGGGTGTTAACCGCCTTCCCGCTAATTTGAATGCTTGGCTTCTCCTTTTGAAAAGATGGGGGGGGGGGCTCGAGGATCTCCTCACCCTACCCCACATGGCCCTAAAGTGCGTGTGCAAAATTTCAGCAGATGTTTAAATATCTGAGAGCAGCTGTTAGCGATTAGTGAATGTGGCGATCCACGTGGGTTGCATAGGTTCTTGGCAAACAGGACCCTTGACTGGCAGACACATCCAAGTCCCCGCTGCAGTCAGATGTTCGCAGCCTTCATCTAAAGCCCGACTCTTCCTGTTCTGGGTGATCCATTCCACTACCATTCGTTTTCCAAAATAGGAACCGGCATCACAGCTCTGGTTTCCAGCCCACAACTCACTTCCTCTGTGAAGCCTACGGACCGCTGTAAGGGTTCAGTTGCTTCTCTCGGCAAAAGACCTTTTAACACCTATCTCAAGGTGTTTTTTATAAACGAGGTGTGCTTAAGGGTAGGAACTGTGTTGTCTCTGCAATCCAGGTTCATACCCCACCCCACCACGCCGCACGATTTCAAAGGCTTATTGAACGGCTGGCCCTTGGTGAATAACGGTCCATTTCTTTCCGGAGAGAAGCCTGTCATGCCCTAAGTGCCTCATTACTTTCAACCTTGGAGAATTACCTGAGATCAGTTGTCTGTGCCCTTAAGTACTAAATGCACCTCTTCCTTTCGGGTCGTTTCCTCCTCTAGCCGCCCCCCCCTGCCCCCACGCCCGAGTCATTTCTTCCCCAGGAAAGACAACGTGTGCTTTCCACTAATGGTGCTTTTAACATACGCTATTTTCTCCTTTCGACTTTGCATCGCTTATCATTTTAGAATCCCAGTTCCAAGTGTTCCTGCACACGGTACAGCAACTGTGTGAGAGGCCACTGGCATACACCGACAAAACTGAAAGCTAGAAATTGAGTTTGAAAATTAAGATAAAGTCGAAGTGTACCGAAGATGTATCAAAGGAGTTGCGGAGCTGGGGGCAGAGGAAAAGTCACCAGCGAAAACCAGGGCCTTGAGGAAAGAGGCGGCAGTAAGAGACGGTGCACCGGTTCTGCTTCAAGTCTTTCTGTGGGATTCAGATGCCCCCCTTCGAGCAAATAAAATATGCAAAAAAAAATTGTTCTGCAATCAAATTTAGGTACAGGGGTTTAAAACCTGAAGTCTAAAAAGCCTAGATTTGGGCCTGGAGAGATGACTCAGCAGTTAAGAGTACTGGCTGCTCTTCCAGAGGAACCAGGTTGGATTCCCAGCAGCCACGGAGTGGTTCACAACCATCCTTTACTCCATACCTGGGGATCTGATGCCCTATTCTGGCTCCTTTGTAGGCATCACAAACCCATGTGGTACACGGACATACATTCAGGCAAAACACACATAAAATCAAATGACTACATCCAAAAAAAAAAAAGCGTACGTTTAAAAGCCAGGTTATCTTTAGCATTCTTTGTCCCTGTTTAAGTATGTATATAAATCTGTAAGTATGAATTTCATTTTGGAAACTGGATGTGATGGTCTGAATGAAAATGGCCCACATAGGCTTAGAGGGAGTGGTATTCTTTGAAGGATTAGGACCTGTGGCCTTGTTGAAGGAAATGTGTCACTGGGGTGAGTGGGCTTTTGAAGTTTCAGGACATCAAGCCAGGCCCAGTGGCTCCCTCTCCCTGCTGCCTCCAGATGGACATGTAAGACTCGGAGTTACTTCTCCAACACCACTCTGCCTGAATGCTGTCATGCTTCCTGTGATGATAATGGATTAAGCCTGTGAATTTGTGAGCCAATCCCAATTAAATGTTTTGGTTTTTTTGTTTGTTTGTTTGTTTTTCGAGATAGGGTTTCTCTGTGGTTTTGGAGCCTGTCCTAGAACTAGCTCTTGTAGACCAGGCTGGTCTCGCCTCCCGAGTGCTGGGATTAAAGGAGTGCGCCACCACCGCCCGACCAAATGTTTTTTTCATTTGTAAGAGTTGCCATGACCATAGGGTCTCTTCACAGTAATAGAACACTAAGACTCCAGGTCTCACTATGGAGCCCTAAGTGGCCTGGAACTTCCTATGTAGTCCAGGCCAGCCTCAAACTCACAGAGATCTGACTGTCCCTGCCTCCCTAATCCTAGGGTTAAAAGCAATCACCACTACTCCTGGCTCCTTTTTTATAGTAGTTTTAGTATCAAAGACCAGGAAAAAAGGACAAATTAATTGTAGCTTGTTTGCCAGAGAAAATTTCTTCAGTGAAATGGAGTAGTTCCCAACATACTTCTATTTTTACACAAAATATAGCTCATTGGAAGTGTTTCAGGCCATTAGGTTGAATGCCCAGCACCAGGATAATTTTTATAAATTTTTAACGATGCTCTATAGAATTCTAGGACAGCCAGGGCTATACAAACAAATAAAGCAAGATAGTATTTTGTTTGTTTCAGAGAGAGTCTAGCCACGCTGACCTTAAACGCATGTTCTTTACTTTGCCTGTACTGCCATGCCTGACTGTTTAATCTATATTTCACATAAAACATGAATTTAAAAAATTATATTCATGGGGCTCGAGAGATGGCTCAGTGGTTAAGAGCACTGACTGCTCTTCCAAAAGACCTGGTGGCTCATAACTGTCTGTAGCTCCAGTTCTCGGGGACCTGAAAACCTCACACAGACATACATGCAGGCAAAACACCAATGCACATAAAATAAATATAAATAAATTTTTAAAAATTATATTCATATCCAACTAAAGGCTTATTGAAACTTATACAGACTTTCCAAATACTTATTAAAACATTTTCAATTTTCAAAGCCCAAAATTTCAAATTAAAATGCAGTTCTCAAACTAAATAGAAGTCAACTTTAAGAGTTATACTAACCAGAGTATTCTAGTTGCAATTTACTGTGGAGAAGAATAAACTTTCCTTACACAAATTAAAATGGTATATCTGTAATCTACTCACCACTTCCCAGATTTACACTGTTGGTAGACTTAGAGAATGAATCACTATCCGTGATAAGTGACTATAAAGTAATTCTACAAGTCCATTGTAGTAACAAACACAATCATTAAATCATTTTCATTCAGGAATTGCTCTGCCTCTATTATCATGGTTAGATTTCAGACCTAAAGAGAGAGTCAGGTTCTTGTTTGTTTGCTTGCTTATTTGTTTTTCAAGAGAGAGTTTCTCTATGTAGCCTTGGCTGTCCTAGAACTCACTCTGTGGACCAGGCTGCTGGCTTTGAACTCAAAGATTCTCTTGCCTCTGCCTCTGGCAAGAGCCAGATTCTTTTTTTTTTTTTTTTTTTTTTTTTTGAGACAGGGTTTCTCTGTGGTTTTGGAGCCTGTCCTGGAACTAGCTCTTGTAGACCAGGCTGACCTCGAACTCACAAAGATCCACCTGCCTCTGCCTCCCGAGTGCTGGGATTAAAGGTGTGTGCCACCACCGCCCGGCTAAGAGCCAGATTCTTAACTGCATCTCTAGAGCAGTGTTTTGTTTTAAACTTTCCTGAAACTGATTAATATAGAATGGACAGAGTATAAATATATAATGTCTCTGGTAGAGACCTTGTGTCAGGATTTAAAACATTACCCTTCTAATGGTTAGCACATACAATGGCACATAAGTAATGGTCTTTATTTCTGCATGTGAACTGTTATGTATGCATATTTACATGCTTATATCTCTCAGGTATGTACTGTATCAACTTGGCTGTAAGATGTGAAAAGCAGGTACCAAAATTCAGACACTGAGGTCCACTCCTACAATCCCCCATTTGGGAATCCAGGGTATGAAGATCTCATGTTTGAGGCCAACCCTTAGCTACATATACAGAAAGTCTGTCACAAAATGAAATCAAAATAAGGAAGAAGACAAGGGCAAGCTCTTATCACCTGAATGTGTTATTTTTACATATGTCAGCAGTGAGCTTTAAAATTGTAAGCAACATTTGGGGCTCTGTTCTGAAGGACTTGGACTGTCAGTTTCCCCAGGCCTGCTAGGCTAGTATTGCCCTTATATCCCCAGTGAGTTGTGGCAATGGAAGTTCTTGCCTCCCTCCTCAACAATAGTCGGTTTCATTAGAGACTTAGAAAAGTGGCCGAAAGCCTAAGCTTGTTTGTTTGTTTGTTTTGATTTTCGAGACAGGGTTTCTCCATTGCTTTTTGTTTCCTATCCTGGAACTAGCTCTTGTAGACCAGGCTGGCCTCGAACTCACAGAGATCCGCCTGCCTCTGCCTCCCGAGTGCTGGGAATAAAGGCGTGCGCCACCACCGTCCAGCTCGAAAGCCTAAGCTTGTAATGCACGAGAGGTTCGGACAATCATGGCCTTCAGGAAAGAGTTACTCCTGACTTCCTTGGCATTTCTGGCTACCAAACGCTATGTAATTTCGTTATCTCATGTAGTTCAAATATGATTTATTATTATGATTTACTATCTTTTCTCAAATCTTCTCAGAATGTAGTGATGAGCTGCCTAGCATTTTTCTTTTTCTTTTTCTTTTTTTTTTTTTTTTTTTTTTTTTTTGGTTTTTCGAGATAGGGTTTCTCTGTGGTTTTGGAGCCTGTCCTGGAACTAGCTCATGTAGGCTGGTCTCGAACTCACATTACACAGGCCTCTCTCCACATAGCCCTAGCTGTCCTAGAACTCTCTGTGTAGATGAGGCTTGCCTTCCTTGCCTTGCTGTGCCTCCCAAGTGCTGGTATTAAAGGAGTGCTATCTGGTCTACAGAGCTAGTTCCAGGACAGGCTCCAAAGCCACAGAGAAACCCTGTCTCGGAAAAAAAAAAAAAAAAAGGAGTGCTATATCACTACGCTTTCACCACTATGCTTTCATCAAAGGACCTACCGTTGCTGTCTAGAAGACTTACCTACAAGCTGAAGCATTGCTCATAGATCAAACAACTGATACATATAACATTTTATTGAAAAATATCACCATTTTCTTGTCCCCAACTCATTTGAAGTGGAGCTAAAAATTGTGAGATTTTCATACCCAAACTCAATTTTCAACACTGTTATTTTTATTGAATATACACTTTTGTGCTATGCCTGAACCCCTCACACGCGCTACTCTGAGTTCTGTTTCCAGAAGCTTGGATGGAGCTAGAGAGATGTTTTAGGTCAAGGCATATTTATATATATATATATATATATATATATATATATATATATATAAAATCTCAGAAACAATCCCTTTATTTCTGCAAAATTTTGTTGAACCCAAAGCATTCTATTTCTGGACCCCTTCTGTTAGTCTGACAGCAATCTCCTAGAACAAGTATTGTCACTTGTCCCTTTACTCAATTTGGTTGGTAATGGTGGAAAGTCACTGTTCAGGAAGAATGCGCCATACAGGAAGTGCATGAGGCAATATTAACTCCAAGAGCAATCAAGTGTAACCACAGTGGTATATGCTTTCGAGAGTTGTGCACATCTGTTTGGGGGCTCCAGCTTTCTCAATATTTGAACTCTTTTTTTTTTTTTTTAATAAACCTGTGGCTGGAGATGATGGTATATACCTTTAATCCCAGGAGTCAGGAAGCAAAGGGAGAGGGATCTCTGAGTTCAAAGATCAGCCTGGTTTGTCTACATTGTGAGTTTAAGCCATCCAGGGCTACATAGTGAAACTCCCCTCAAAAAAAAAAAAACCAGAAAGAAAAAAAAGGAAAAAAATCTGATCTTGCTGGAGATGTAACTCAGTGGTAGAGTTGTTTGCCTAGACTGTGGGACCTTGAATATGATCCCAAGCACCAGAAAAAAAAAATAAAAAATAAAAAGCTGGTTCATGGTGATGAGTGCCTATACTGCCAGCACTCAGAAGTCTAAACAGAAGGATCCAGAGTTTAGGGTTAGCCTCTATTAATATTGAAACTGACTCTCCAGAGGGGAAGGTTTATGGCAAATCTGCAAGAAATGAAATTGACCTTCGAACTCACATGCCAGATGACAAAATTCAAGTTCTAGGTGTACATTATAGACACTTCCCCTTAACTTTAGATATAGCATTTAAATTATCTTGGTTGGGCAATGGTGGCACACGCCTGTAATCCCAGCACTGGGGAGGCAGAGGCAGGTGGATCTCTGAGTTTGAGGCCAGCCTGGTCTACAGAACAAGTTCTAGGACAGCCAAGGATATATAGAAGATTTCTATATATCCTTGAAACTAACTAACTAAATAAAATAAGTAAAGTTACCTTTACTTTTCTCTCTGACATGCCAATGGGGAGTATTTTAAAAGTTAAAAAGATAATTTTATAGCCAGTAATGGTGGCAGATGTCTTGAATCCAAGCTCTTGGGAAGTAAGACAGAGGCAGGGGGATCAAGAACTCAAGGCCATCCTAGGGAACAGAGTAAGACCCCATCTCAAAAAAAAAAAAAAAAGATAAGATTGTCTTTGGTTTTCCTGGCTCAGCAATGTTTTTATATTCTGAATAAGAAACACTTTAATCAGGGGCTGGAGAGATGGCTCAGAGGTTAAGGACGCCGACTGTTCTTCCAGAGGACCTGAGTTCAATTCCCAGCAACCACATGGTGGCTTACAACCATCTACAATGAGATCTGGTGCCCTTTTCTGGCATGCAGTCATACATGGAGGCAGCACACTGTATTGTATACATAATAAATAAAATTTAAAAAAAGAAACACTTTAATCAGACAGGACAGATTTATATATCATATTCATTGATTGGTGTTTTGGCTTTATGTATGTCTGTGTGAGTGTGTCAGAATCCCTAGAACTGGAGTTACAGATGTGAGCTGTCATGTGGGAGCTGGAAGTTGAACCCAGGTCCTTTGGAAGAG